GGTGCAGCGTGAGTAAAGAAGTGGCACCAGCAGCAATTTGGACATACTGCATGACTCATCACCAAGCTTTGGCATCGAAGAAGCTGCGGTTTGAAGTACACAAAGCCCTCAACATTGTTATAAAAATAGGGTGACCAGATGTCCCGATTTTATAGGGACATCCCCGATTTTTGGGTCTTTTTCTTATATAGGCTCCTATTACCCACACCCCGTCCTGATTTTTCACACTTGCTGTCTGGTCACCCTATATAAAAACTGTCAATTTTATAAAATCCTGGGCACAGAATGTGTTTTAATATGCTGTGCAAAGAGATGGACTCTGACCACACTCAGCTTTTGTTTCACAGTGAAGTCAGATGGTTGTCACATGGAAAAGTGTTACAAGGCGCCTTTGACTTGCATGACAAAAATCAGGATTTTCCTCCTAGGGAAAACAAGCTTTGAAGGTTACATGTGAAGTGTGGACTTCAGGATGATGCGAGCTGGTGGACTTGACTGGCAAACCTAACATGTTCGGGTTGGAATACAAACATATTAGATATCAAAGAGAAAAATCAGAGGATTAACGAAGAAATTTTGTTTCTGGAGATGCCACATTGAAAAACGAGTTACTAAGATGTTTTCACTGTTAGACTTTTAAAAAAGAACAAGGTGAAAGTGATCAAAATGCTATGAAAGGCCAAATATTAAACTAATTTGCTTGGATTGTACTCCTATTTTGCTGAATATTTTCCTGGAGTTGAAAAGGAAACTTCAAATGCCAATTGGATTTGAAAACCATTCTTGGTAACAGCTGATTCCATTTCAAGATCAAGTATTTTGGCTCAAGTAAATCTTAGAATTACCAAATGATCATACATGGAAGACCACATTTTCAAATTTAACAAACCAGGAATTCTGGATTTACGTTAAAGGATAGTAAGACGAACTCAGTGATAAATCCATGAAGTGCTGCTTTCATTCACTTCCAGTTATCTCTGAGAGTCTCTACTTTCAGCAACAATTTCTGTGAAAGCGAAACTCAGAAATCATTTAAACTTGGAAAACGACTTATATCTGGCACCATTAAGAGATTCAACCAAACACTGCTCTACTGTGCAGTTCGAGACAGGCCTATTCTTCTCACTAAAAAACTGCCAAACAACTCATATTTTCAAATTATAGTTTTAGACACCTGGATTAGACTGGATTATATAATTAAATTGTATATAGTTGAATAAAACTGAAAAATCACCAGAACTCTAATGTCCCTCTTGAATCTACTGTCCTGAACACTTGGATCTAATGTCCCAAGTCAGTTAAGTAAACAGCATTGGTTCTGGGGAGCTATCACGTTTTAAAAGATCTGTAAAGGAACTGCAGTACTAAAAAGTTTGGGAAACATTGAGCAGTGATTCTCAAACTTTTGTACTGGTGACACGTCACATAGCAGGCCTCTGAGTGAGACCCTCCCCTTAAATATATATAAAAAAAAGTGTTTTTAATTTAGAACACTTTTATAAATGCTGGAGGCAAAGCGGGGTTTGGGTTGGAGGCTGACAGCTCATGACCCACCATGTAAGAACCTCACGATCCTCTGGGGGGTTCCGACCCCCAGTTTGAGAACCCCTGAGCTAGAAGGGCTTGTTCTGGTGCATGAATTGTCAGTCTCCCCCGCCCCCTCTCCCCCGCACATCCCCTCCCCAGTTACAGAGGTCGGTGGGTTTCTTGCTCAGAACTGCTCAAGTCAGCTCTGGTACAAGAATCCCTGATGTCCCATGGGGTGTAACACAGAGGCCCCGGTTGGGACCCCTGCTTTCAATCCTCATTAGTTTGAAGAGTCAACTTCTGCTTGAACTTGACCTGCAGTGACCCTTAACATGGAAAAACCAGTGACCGAGTGCTTCAAGATGTTTGCCCGGGATATGAAAGGCTGACTCGTTCCTTTGCATTTAGCCCCCTCAACTCCCCCCTCTTTTGCCCACTGCAGGGAAACTTGCAGCTCAATCAGATCTTCCTTTGGCTGAGAAGCTGTGGAAAGGACTGAAGTGTGACCTAGCTGAGATTGACAGCTGCCATGCTGGAGAGGGCAATCTGTGTTTGGGCCCTTGATAGCATGCAGCAGCAATGGCTGGCTGCACATGATGGGGGCCCCAGGAATGAGCTTCCGATTCTCCATTCAAGGTTCTAACAACATCCTGCAGAAGCAAGTGGTGGTTGGGAATTAAGAAGCATGTGAATAAAGCATGTGCACGTGTGATTGGGTGGGTAGGGGAGTTAACTTAGGGTGAGACGATGGAACTACAATCCCAGCTTAGAACCTGCAACTGAGAGTGAAGATGAAGATTAGTCCGGGAGTCAAGTGGCAGGCTACTTTGCTGTTGGAAAAATTAGGAAGGACAACTCTCAATGCTGCCACCCCCATACCAAGAACACCCTGTTTTAAAGCTGTTTCTATCATTGTTGCCAAAACCCCTTGACTCCTCTTGGCACCCTTATAACAATGGAAAAGGAGTGGGAGAAACTGAGTCTCATCACTGACTCCCAAACCTTAGGCCTCACCAAACAAGTGTGGTGCTGAGCTGGGAGACATCAGCTGATCTACCCAAGAATGGGGGGGGGGGAGGGGTGGCAGGAGTAGATTCTTTGACTCCCCATTCTCAGGAGAGATTGAGGAAGGCAGGTCAAAAAAAAAAAAAAAACTAGTGGCGCTGACTTGCCAACATCTGGTTTCTTCCACCCCTAACTTTGAACTGTTCTTGAAAATTAAACCATAATGAGCTGGTTGTAGATGAATTGTTTCAGACCCTCCCAGCACAAACTATGGCTGCAAAGACATCACACACTGCACATTCAGATGACCAGTTCAGTTTCTGCTTGCTAGTCACATCAACAGTGTCAACTTTCTGTAAGTTCCAACACCAGCCTCTGCTCCCACCAAGAATTAGAGATGGGCCCAAGCCAAAGTCTAGATTCATAGTCCCAAAAGTGGGTTTGTCTGAAAGTCTGTATCTGGCTCTGAATCTTGTAACCTGAGCCCATCTCTACTGCTCTCTGGGCACCAGGTTCTGTTCAGTTTAACCCAAAGCAAATGCAGACACTCCAGGAAGATTTGGATCTGGCTAGCTAAGATGAGCAGCACAGCCCCACAAAGAGCCTGTAAGCACCTATCACAAAGGCAGTCACTGTAACCAGGCAATTGCTGTACTTGTAGCATACAGTTAATGTTGCTCTGGTAGACTCCGTCCCCACCCAACTGCCAAGATGAGAGATGTGGGCTAGAATAGATGGCTGAATAAGATGTGCCCAATTACATGTCTCTGAGCTCGACTCTGGCACTGCAGGCTGACCTTTGGTCCAGGCTGATGATTGGCAAGTTAGCAGCATGTGACAGCAAGCAAGCAAATGGGGAGCCAACGATGCATGAGGTGACAGATGAGTTGTGGCGGGGCCGCTGTGCCCTTTTCCTGCTTTCTTGCTATTGGGTTATAGTGCAGTGCGCCAAGTCGAGTGGAAACAGCAAGGTTCAGGAGAATCCACAGGAGAAAAGAAAGAGAAGCCTAGCTAACAGAATCCAGACACAGCACACTGAACCCCCAACATGACCAAACTGACTGCAGGAGATGAGGTGATTGCAGTGCCCTTGCATAAAAAAAAGGGTCAACATATGGAAAGAAACCCTCCCCTTCTTCAGGGCAGATCAAAAGGAGTCCTATCTATACAGGGGTAGGGGCGTCTCCTTCTTCTAACAGCAATGAAGAGGCACGATCGGACGGGCATATCTAACATGGTCACTTTCCTGTGTCTGCGAGGACCTCCAGGCTTTTGGAGAACCTCAGTCCTTCCCCCTCCTCATTTTTTATGAAGCAATGAAACAATGTCAAAACTAAGGCAGTACCAGTAATGTTGCAAATATGTTTTGTTTAAATGCCAAGATCCTTTGTCAAGGGCTGCTTCTCCAGGCAACTCTGTGGTCAATTTCAACAAGGGCAGCTCCAAGCAGCCAACGTGCTTAATTTTAACTTCTGTACAGAAGGGAAACTGAACAGCTGTGTCCTACACTGGGCCAATTTCTCACTGTTACCCTGAGATCCATTAACTGCAAAGTTCTTCCTACTTCCAGAACAAGCCCTTAAAAAAAGGTCTCACATACTGACCTCTTTCCTGCCCCACAGAGATCACTGAACACACATGCTCCAAGGAGGCTGCAAAGAAGTCACTGAACATGGCTCTTTCCCCTCCCTGGTCCATTTGGAATTTGAGAAAATACTCCCTGCCCCTTTAACTAAACAAGAGTATGTTGTGGTTTTTTTGAGGGGGTGGAGGGAAGATGAGGGGTACTTAATCACACAGCACACTGGCAGGATAAGAACCATACACCAACCCAAGAGGCAGCTTACATTCCACTCCTCACCACTGTTCCCCTCCCCTTGATCCCCCACAGGACAGGAACAAGGAGAGTTTCCATATGTGCCAGCCATGAGCAGGGCCCAAATCAGAAACACATCCCTACGTGCTAAACCTGTCTGTAAGCCTCCTCTTGATCCTCTAAGGCCAGGTCTACACTAACCCCCTAATTCGAACTAAGGTACGGAACTTCAGCTACGTGAATAACGTAGCTGAAGTTCGAAGTACCTTAGTTCGAACTTACCTTGGTCCACACTCGGCAGGCAGGCTCCCCCATCGACTCCGCGGTACTCCTCTCGCCGAGCTGGAGTACCGCAGTCGACGGCGAGCACTTCCGGGTTCGACTTATCCCGTCCAGACTAGACGCGATAAGTCGAACCCAGAAGTTCGATCGCTCGCCGCCGAACTACCAGGTAAGTGTAGCCAAGGCCTAAGAGAGACAAGGAAGTATGCCCTCTTGTGGTGAAGCGAAGACATGCCCTAGCATTGGCCCAGACAGCTACTAAAAGGGAGTTTAATGGGGGAACAAACATCAGGCCATTGAAAGGCTTTGGAAGTGCACAAAAAGACAGCTGTAAGCTGGGGTAATGAGGAAGAGGAGGAGGACGACTCACATGTGATGAAGTAGTCCTGCTGCCTCTGGAACTCCAGGCCCATGTAGTTGGGGCTGAACTCCTGGAACTTGATGGTGAAGCGGATCTCCTTCTCTGGCCGGTTGCAAGTCACCAGCACATTGGGATCCATGACAGTGCTGCAGGACTCTGCCTGCTCCCGCTTCACCAGGTACAGCTTGTAGTATTCATAAGGTCTGGAAAGCTCCGCCTTGGGACAGATAATGTCCAGTTTGTCCCCGATCTCCGGGTAGATGACCAGCCCTTTACCAGCCATAAATCTAGAGAGGAAAGAGGATAAGAGATTAGATTCATGTGCCCTATTTGGATGCAGCTGAGCGGGGAAGCTCCACATTGTGCACCAGGGCAGCTACAAGTTTCTGCTTGGCTGGGGCAATGTTCACAAATTTCATCCTGACCAGAACTGTGTCCCCCTCCCTCCTGGAGGGAAACCTAGAGCTTGCCCCAGGTGGAACTCCCACCATTTTCACGCCACAAAACATTTTTTATGATGAAACGAGTTTTCCTTCTCATGACAAATGCCTGCAGTGAGGGTGGCAAGTGCCGTTGTCTGAAGGTTCCCTTCCACCCCAACATTCAGACACGTATCCCCAATGCCAGGGTCACTGCTGGTTTGCTGCCTACAGTACATTACCCAGGGCTCGGGCCAGTCTATTTTTAAATGGAGACTCATTCTCCTCACTCTAACCTTCCTGAACAGTCAGCCTCACACAGCTGCCAGGGAGAAGTCTCAATCTCTCACCACTCCCAAATCTCGAAATGCCACAATATGGGTAGCACAGTGGTTAGCCTATGAGAGAACTACGTGGTTGCTGCTGGGACCACTTGCTCTCTTCATGGAGTGGAGTACTGTAAAGACTGTGCTCTTTGCGCTCAGGAGCAGAACACAGAGAGCCTGCTGGGTGAAGGGAAGAGTACCTTGTCCAGATTTCCATGACTGGGAAGGTGTGGTTCTGCCACCGGGTTTCATTTAGAGGAGGAGGATTAACTGGGGGGGCGAGAGGGGGCATGAGAACTGGTGAGCGTGAAGAGCTCCCTCTCACACCCTCACTGCGAACAGAATTTTTATTGCTGAATAGGGAAGGGAGGAAGAGCTCTAAATCAGCAGGGTGCCTTCTGCCAACACACAAGAGTTGCCTCAAAGTCCTAAACTCGGCAGTATGCCCAAGGGAGGATTGGACAGAAAATGGCAAGGAGGGGTAAAAGCTATTCAGGGCTGGAAGGCAGGCCATTACTAAGCAAAAGGAAGGAAGGCAATGTGGCTAACACTCAGGCTCCATTATTACAGGGCAATTACTCAGCTGAATTTTACACAGCAATTAAAGAATTGGGGCAGCAGAGAGGGGAGGGGAAGAACATCTACTTAGCATAATCTCTTTTTGATGGAAGATAACCTAGGAATATATATTAACCCAAAATTTTCTCTGCTGTGCAGCCATGACTTCACTGATGTAATCTGGGTGCTCTGAGAATTGGATGGAGCTCCCAGATAGGCTACACCTCCATTCATTTCTCCTGCCCCTCCCAGATTTAATCAATTCCTTCCCCCACCAAATTGCTAACCAGAAGACATCACTCTGAGTATATGCCCAGATTCTATTCTCCCCTCCTCCATCCCAAAGAGATTTGCACAAGTCAAAACTACAGGCATCAAAGAAACAAGATCAGACACACAAGATCAACCTGCTCTGTGGCTCTCAAACAAGTCTCAGCAAGAAGCCAAAGGGCTGAAGCCAGAGCCAGCAGCCTGGTCTTCAAAATTCCCATCACATGAGCTCCACAGAGAGGATTTACAGGCCAAGTTTAGAGGAGGCAGGCAGGAAAGGTGGAGTCTGAGCCCACACACTCTTGGCAAAGATTCCAAGTTACATTCCAGCTGCAGTTAAGGCAAAAAGACAGCCAAAAAAGATCTCACCTGCATCTATTCCTTCAGAGACCGGAGTAGCCCCAATTCTAATTGCCATTGCCCCTCCCCCCCCCACCCAACAAGACAGGGTGAGGCTATGGGGCAGCAGGGACATTTACTTTTGATAAGAGCCACTCCCTGTTCTAGAATTTGATTCAGATAATTTGCACTGTATCTGCCCAAACTCTTCCCAGCAGCTAGAGCTCAGCTGGAACTTAAACCTCAGTAGCTAACAAGTTCCCAGTAGCTTAACTAAAGGGCCCCCATCAGGCCCTGCCCATGGGAAGTCAGCCACCCACTGGAACTCTGACTGGGCAGGTTATCTCACCTGTCGGATTCCAATACCAATAGCACATATCAGTTTAGCTGACGCACTTTTACCATGTAAGCCGTGGGGAAGTAATGAAATCTAATAAAAGCTATGACTCCTAGAACAAAAGATACACAGTAAGCTTAAAAGGGCAAGAAACTTAACACCTAAATGACTGAGCTCTGTCGCTGTAAACTGCAAATAATGAGAAAAGAAGGTGGGGAAAATGACTATTGCACTAGAGTTTCCAGCGCCTCACAAAGCATGAAGTGAATGATGCAGCTGTGTTCCAACTCATCAGAGCTGCTGGCAGGTAAGCTAGATCTGGCCCTCAGAGGGGTCACCTCACAGCTATGCCACTTGTCTGCTAGCCAGAATGCTTTTCCCAAGGTGCTGCAAGTGATAAAGGCTTGCCCTAGGGTGACCAGACAGCAAGTGTGAAAAATCGGGATGGGGGTGGGGGGTAATAGGATCCTATATAAGAAAAAGACCCAAAAATCGGGACTGTCCCTATAAAATCGGGACATCTGGTCACCCTAGCTTGCCCACCCACCATCTGAGCTCTGAGGCAATCCCCTGAACATGCTTACATCTTGTACAGAACTGCCCCCTCTTTACCCACCCTGTGACAGGCCACAGGTGTGCACATTTGGTCCAACAAGTAAACACTTGTACACACACAGGTTTCCACCCCAGGAGGAAGCAGGATCTAAGATCCACCTCTCCAAAGCTAGTCTGACTCACGCATTTTCTGGTGAGATAAATCCAAGTGACTCAAATTCCCTGCTTCAGCCTCTGCCGGCTCCTTCCTAACCAAAAGATTCCAAACAGGAAGCTACAGACAAAGCAAAGTAGACGTCTTGAGGTTTTGGGGCAAAGGAGGAAGAACACTACATATTTCCCACCTCAGTGGGACCCCAGCATAACTCTTTCTCCAGAGGGGTCTTTGCAGTGACACAAAGCCCCTCAACAATACCCTATCTACCCAAATGGCACCATGCAATAACCATACAATTATGATTAAGGTGCAACAGGGTGTGGTCTCAAATAAGATTAAACTGAGTTATGAAGATATTACCTTTGATTTTTATATATCCTCCATGTCACTATAGGACAGAGTTAATGTTCTTCGGGTGCCCTAACTGCATCCCATACCTCAACGTGTTTGGATTTCTAATATAGTTTGAACCTTAACTTTGAATTTCTTGAGGATAATCGCAATACCGCTGTAATGAATAATACCCTGAAGTACTTACATACACACTCAGTCTTAATATAGCTTTTAGCTAGGAATTTCTTCAGTGATATTCTCTGAGTTTCGTATTTGCTGTTCATATGTGAAATTACTAAAACCACATGATATTTTCAACGATTGAAAATACACAGTATGTACCTGAACCATTAATATTTTCAGAGCTATATCCAGATCCACCACTTTGCGCTAGCTCAGAGGTGCTAGAGGGCCACATCTGGGAATAGAAATTGTATGGTGGGCCATGAATGCTCACAAAATTGGGGTTGGGGTGCAGGTTCTGGTTGGGGGGTGCAGGCTCCAGGGTGGGGCCAGAAATGAGGAGTTCAGGGTGTGGGAGGGGGCTCTGGATTGGGATGCGGGCGTGAGGGCTCCGGCTGGGGATGAGGAGTTTGGAGTGTATGAGGGTGTTCCAGGCTGGGACCGAGGGGTTTGGAGGGCGGGGGGGGGGGGGAAGTCAGGGCTGGGGCAGGGATTTGGGGCATGGGATGAGAGGTTTGGGGTGCAGGAGGGTGCTCCAGGCTGGGATTGAGGGGTTTGGAGGGCAGGAGGGGGATCGGTGTGGGGAATGGGGGAAGGCTCAGGGGTGCAGGCTCCAGGCAGCAACAAGTCCCTTCTCTGGCTCCTACGTGGAGACGTGGCCAGGAGGCTCTGCACACTGCCCTGTCTGCAGGCACCGCCCCTGCAGCTCCCATTGGCCGCGGTTCCCGGCCAATGGGAGCTTCAGGGGCGGCGCTTGGGGTAGGGGCAGTGTGCAGAGCAGAGTCCCCTGGCTGCCCCTATGCATAGGAGCCGAGGGGGGCCATGTAACTGTTTCCGGGAGCCACATGGAGCGGTCTCTGACCCTGCTCCCCAGCTGGAGCACCGGAGAGGGGCAAGCCCCAGGCCCCGCTCCCCAGCGGGAGCTTGAGGGCCCGATTAAAACAGCTGGCGGGCCAGATCCGGTCCATGGGGCGCAGTTTGCCCACCCCTGCTCTAGCTGCTTTATTTCACTCAAGCAATGTAAATCAGCCAAACCATAGTGGCCACGGAAACTGGGTTTACGTCTGCTTTGCAGCATCAGACCGCCACCAAGCAGCCAGTGTGTATACCTGTTTTGCCTCATGTCCTGTCGCCCACATGCCTATATGCACATGCATTCATTTTTCCTCTCCTTCCTGTTCCCCTCATATTTCTCCAAACCTTCACCCCTCTCCATTTGCCCCTTCCACATAGTTTTGCTGAGTAGATCTGGCACAAAAGGTATTTTAAATAAGTAGGAATAATGGGAATTTGTTGACTTTTTTCATAACAGAATTCTCTCTCAAGCAAAGACTGACAAAATCTTCAGAGAAATTCACAAAGAACTGAATCCTTTCAAAATGGCTGCCAACTTCCATTGTTCTCAAAAAAACAAACCACAGGTTGCAGTTAGTTAAGATGCTCTTTTCCAAAATGGCCACCAACTCTTATTGTTTCAATTGCAGTTCCCCAAGCTGCTTTCAGGGAAGATGGCGGCTCCTAATCTATAACGAGGCAGAGAAAAGCAGGCAAACTGTGGGAACTACATTTGTTAAGGGGTAGCTTGTGGTCTCCAATCTGTTGAGAATAGCAAATGGCAGACATTTTGGAAGAGGTCAGTTCTTCATGGAATTCTCTGAAATAAAGTTATTCTTCATGCTCTGCTGAAGTTTCTCAGTTGTGAACAACAGCAGAAAAAAAAAGTACTATTAGCCCTAAAGAAATTCTTCATATGTGACTTATACAGACTATGGTAGTGAGTTTTAACCATGAGACATTTGAAGAGTACATT